CATTGAACAAAGTCATATGATTAGTACATTTCACTGTACCATTTCCAACTACAGGCTGTGTTGTACCATTAGCAGTCTGTATGCTCTCTGGTACAGCTAGATGAGTATATGAAGAAAACTCTCAAGTAGGATCTGTCACGTGGTGAGAAGCACCAGAATCTATGATCCATTTTGATGATACTATGGTGGAAATAGAGGCAAGAGCAAGTGTCACCATTACCTTTACTGAAGTGAGCATAAGTAGCAGTGTTAACCCTTAATATCGATAGATTTGAAGCATCCTCAGCTCCATCTCCTGTTGTTTGCTGGTTTCTCTTCAAAAACTCCAAACACTCATGATCCTCACCAGTAAAGATCACAAGTCTCTCCCTCGTCCTATGTTATCACTAGATTTGGCAAGTTGCCCCCTTTTCCACATTTCTGACCCCCATGACCAAGGCCTCGACCTCCACCCTACCAAGTCCACCTCTCTCTCTCCTTCGGTGGCTTAGGGTAGACTTTGCTCAGATGGCCAACTCCATTATAGTTGTAGTACTTGTGAGTCTCCCCCTGAACACCTAGCATGCTTGGGCTAGCAACAACAAGTCCACCTCTCTCTCTCCTTCGGTGGCTTAGGGCAGACTTTGCTCAGATGGCCAACTCCATCATAGTTGTAGTACTTGCGAGTCTCCCCCTGAACACCTGGCATGCTTGGGCTAGCAACAGCTAATGTTGATTGTCCACCCAAAAAAACACTCAGCTAAGATTGTAGCTTCACACGACTCTTCTCTTGTATTATCACAACAATAGTCTCATCTAGCGTTGGAATAGTCACCTGAGCTAGAGGACAAATCTCTCCTTTCTTGCAATTTGGGTTGCTACAGCTCGACATCAGTGAGAAGTAATCGAAATCCGCCCACAACCTCTCCAACTCTATGGAATATTCCTGAATTGTCTTCTCACCCTACACCACAGCTTCTATCTCGCATTGAATCTGAAATACCCTCATGTGATTCTCAGCACCAGCATAAATTCAATTTTGCCCACATGTCCCTCACCTTTTGAATGTCATCGATTGAGGATGCGATTGACGGAACGATTGAGTTGAGTAGCCAGGTGTAGACTAAGGCATGAGTGGTCCTCCACTTATCCCTCTCAACTTTGTCACTTTTTGGTTTGTCCTCGGTCAGATATCTCTCTAGTCTCTTCCCTACTAAAGCTGCCTCAATCCAACGTGACCAACTCAAATAAGTGGTCAGTCCATCAAGCTTCAAATCCACGGGAGGGAGATCTAGCTTCATTTCGGTCGGAGCCTTCGTTGAATTTGCGGTTCTTGTCAAGGCACTAGCTCCCCAAATGAGCCCTACAATGAGCTTCAGGACCTCGGGTTCAATCCTTCGCAGAAGAACCAATCCTTTACTCCCCACACTATCTACATCTCCCATCATTTTCAATCACCTAGATTCTCTTCTAGGTCATACAAACCACGAACAATTCTCTTCCTCCTTTGGACTTGATTTTGATCTATCTCATCATCAAGATCGGGGTTTTCTTCGTGTGGCGGCCCGATTGCAACAGGTGTGGCGGCAGCGGCCTGGAAAGGAGGCTGCGGCAGCAGCCTGGAAAAGAAGTTGTCATCGTGGCGGCAGCAGCCTGGAAAGGAGGCTGTGACAGCAGCCTGGAGAAGAGGTTGTGACGACGGCAGCCTGGACAGACAGCGGCGGCAGCTTGGGCAGACAGCCCCGACCGC